GAGAGAGAGAAAGAGAGGGAGAGAGAGAGAAGAGAGAAAGAGAGAGAGAGAGAGAGAGAGAGAGAGAGAGAGAGAGAGAGAGAGAGAGAGAGAGAGAGAAGAGAGAGAGAGAGAGGAGAGAGAGAGAGAGAGAAGAGAATAGAATAAAAAAGAGAGAAAAAGAGAGGGAGTCGGGGGCGTGGAAGATTCTAGTGCGACCAGGGGGGGGGGGCAAGGAGGGCGGAGGCTCGGGTGGGCCAACGCCAAGGACATGTGAATGAAGGCAAGGCGGACGGTGGGCGGGGTTGGGGGGATTGGGGGGCACAAGGGGATAGAGCGAGGAAAAGAAGGACGGGGTAAAGGATGCAAGGGAGGTGGGAGGGGGTGGAAGTGGGAAATAGTGGGGAAGGAAGTGAAGGGGAGTACTAGAGTGGGAAGAGGGAGGGGCCCAACAGAATGGGGAGAGAGTGAGGAGAGCACTGGAATCTGGAGAGAGTAGGGGAGAGAATGGGAGCACACCAGAGTAGGGAGAGAATGCGGGAGTCCTACGAAGGCAAGGGAGTTGGAAGGGAGTGGAGGAGCAGTAAAGTCCTTATGGGAATGGAGATCAAGCGAAAATTGAGCCACAAGGAGGAGAGAGATAAAAAACGAGGAGGAAAGAATTTTACAAGACAGAATAGCTGAATGGGGTATGATAGTAATACGATGGGGTTGTGGAGGGGAGAATAGAGAAGACACAGAATGACAATATGGAGATAGGAAATGCGAGAGGCGCCGGGAGTGGAGCCGTGACTGCTTTATCAGAAAGAGGGAGAGAGAGAGAGAGAGAGAGAAAAGAAGAGAAAGAGAGAGAGAGAGAGAGAGAGAGAGGAGAGAGAGAGAGAGAGAGAGAGAGGAGAGAGAGAGAGAGAGAGAGAGAGAGAGAGAGAGAGAGAGAGAGAGAGAGGAGAACCGAAACAAGAAAGAGGGGAGAGAAAGGAGAAAGTATAGAAGATAGAGGTGAAGAGGGAAAAAGGGGGAGGAGGAAGGAGGAGAAGGAGGAGGAGGGAGGAGGAGGAGGAGGAGGAGGAGGAGGAGGGAGGAGCGGAGGAGAGAGGAGGAGGAGAGGAGGAGGGAGAAGACGACGACGACGAGGAGGAAGAGAAGAGGAGGAAAAGAAAAAGAAATGGAAAAGGAAGAAGGTGGATGAAGGAGATAATGGGGAGGAGGAAGAAGAGAAGACGAAAAAGAAGGTCGAGAATGGAAAACGCAGAAGAGAATATTGACAAACTGAAGAATAAAACGGGAAGAGGAGTAGGTGGAGGAAGTTCAGACTGCTGGGTGGGAGCAGGGCGGAGCTACACGCAGGCTTTCCCTACCTTCCTCCACCTCTCGTCTCCCTCCCCAACTCCCAACTCCCTCTCCCTCCCTCCCATCCTCCTCCCACCTTCCCCCCCTCCATCTCTCCTTTCCCACCACCCCCCCATCTCCCCCCTCTCCCCCCTCCCTCCCTCCTTACCTCCCCGCCCCCTTTCCACGCACCTCCCTTCCCCTCCTTCCATCTCTCCTTTCCCACCACCCTCTTCCCCATCTCCCCCCTCCTTACCTCTCCCCCCCTTCGCCCCACCTCCCTCCTCCCGACACAAAAATGCCTGCAACGAAGACAAGAACGACGGACGGGCGGCGCTAACACGACCCAGAACACGTAGCAACCGCATCCTTTCTTAGGCTTAGCCGTGACAAGGCACCGAGGCCAACCAGCGGCGAGAGAGAAGAGAATAGAGAGAGAATGGAGAGGAAAAGAGGGAAGATGGGGAGGAAGAGAGAGAGGAAAAGAGAGGAAGAGAGGAAGAGAGAAAGAGGAAAAGAGAGGAAAAAGAGAGGAAAGAGAGAGAGGAAAAGAGAGAAAAAGAGAGAGGAAAAGAGAGACAAAGATCGGGAGGAACAGAGAGAGGAAAAGAGAGACAAAGATGAGGGAGAGACAAAGAGACAGAAAGATGGAGACAAAATGGGAGAAAGAGAGATAGGAAAAGAGAGAGAGAGAGAGAGAGAGAGAGAGAGAGAGAGAGAGAGAGAGGAGAGAGAGAGAGAGAGAGAGAGAGAGAGAGAGAGAGAGAGAGAGAGAGAGAGGAAGGAAGGGAGAGAGAGAGAGAGAGAGTGAGGACAGGAGGACAGAGGGCAGCGGAGGGTGTCAACCGGTGAATGAAGAAAGGGGGTGGGGTGGCGGGGGAAACAGGGGAGAAGCGGAGCGGGAGAGAGGGGAGGGAGGGGGAGGGGGGTCTTCACAAGGC